GGGTCTCTGTCAGGTCATGGAAGTGGCTAGGTAAGTAACTTCCAGGTGAGAGGAGATACATGTCCTTACCAGCTTGGAAGTATGACTCACTTATGCTTTAGCTTCCTCATTTTTTTTTTTTTTTTAAGATGAGAAAAGCATTTACAGAAGTCTTCTTCAAAATTAGTTTGTGAAAGTACATTGATGAGGTACCTTTATGAAATACACACTGCTAAAGTTTGAATCCTCAAGAGGGCCCTTCTTTATGTCTGCACACGGAAACCCTCAGAAGTGGTTTATTCTCACTGGATACCAGCATTATTTATGGGTAGTACTCACTTAACCAGATTATTGATCTCTCCAGGCTACTCAAGAGATGGACAGTAATAACCCATTAACCTGAAGTGAAAAACCAGAGTGGTGTAAAATGGCACAGCTACTATGGAAAACGGCATGGAGGTTCCTCAAAAAATTAAACATAGAATTGCTGTTTAATCCAGCAATTCCAGTTCTGGATATATATCCAAATGGATTTAAAGCTGGGTCTTGCAGAGGTATTTGCACACTCATGTTCATAGTAGCACTATTCACAATAAATGAAGGGTGGAAATAATCCAAATGTCCATCAACAGGTGAATGGATAAGCAAAATGTGTAATGAATGAATGCAATATTATTCAGCCTTATAAAGGAGAGAAATTCTGACCCATGCTACAATACGGCTGGACCCTGAGAACATTATGCTAAGGGAAATAGTCCAGTCAGTCACAAAAGGACAAATACTGTATGATTCCAGTGATATGAGGTACCTAGAAGAGTCAAATTCATAGAGACAGAAAATAGAATGTTGGTTGCCAGTGGCTGGGGGAGGAGGAAATGGGGTTTACTATTTAATGGGTATAAACTTTCAGTTTGGAAAGATGAAGAAGTTCCATAGATGGATGGTGCTGATGGTTGCACAATAATGTGAATGTACTAAATGCCACTGAACAGTACCCTTAAAAAAAAAGTTACGGTGGTAAGTTTTATGTTATATGTATTTTACCACAATAAAATTTTTTTAAGAAAGAGTGGGTACACTCTATGAGAGAGCCTGAGCTATGAACCTCAAGGAACAGAGGTGGGTTCCATCTGAGGGGACTGCAGATGGTCTGGGTGTTCAGGCAGACAGATTCTTCTAGATGGCGCCAAATCCCAAGAAATCCAGTTTTCTGAACCGTGCAGATATATTTGTAATTGCTTAATTGGTAACAGCATGTTGTTTTTTTCATGAAATTTTGTCAGAAAAAGTTTGGTAAAATGAGTTATTATACCACTAGTTATCTTAATAATGTGTCAGGGAACAACATACAGCTTTTCTGTGGCCAAGGATATAATTTTGAAAAAATATTGCCTCCTATTATTAATTAGAATGTGTTAAAATGATAAGTTCATGGAAACAAAAAAAATGTGATTTCCCTGAAACCTCTATTCAAAATCTGAATATACCTAATATGGGGGTGTGTCTGGAATCTGTGATATAAATTAAAAGAGAGCTAAAAGCTGCTCATTCCTGACATATTTCTTCCTAAATCCTCCTCCTCTCCTTGCATTCATACTTATAAGGACAGAAAATCCTAGGAGCTGGGGATCGTTTGTTGACTGAGCATGATGATGTCAGCAGTAAAATGACCTTGAAAGTAATTTTCAGTGATGTCCCTGGAAATGTACAATTGGAGAAGCCTGAGCAGAGCTTAAGTACATAACATTAAAAAGGGGATATTTGGGAGGATTCTAGATTCTGTTTGCAGGGTCTTCTGAAGGGAGAGGTTTTAAAGGAGATCAGGGAGTTTTGGGAGGAATAATGTGCCATCTCTAGCATGTTGTAAAACTTTTTCCTCTCTCCCTGGAAATTTTCAGTAAAATCGCTGTCTTTTGCTATGGCCTGGTGAGGTCTATGGGCTTTTGGGGATGTGACAAAGTGCCAGTGGTCCTTTATAAAGGAGACAAGAGCCTTTTCTCACCTGGTTGCAAACTAGATACTAAACCTCATTGTAATTTCTTGCCTTCTCTTTTTTTGTTTTTAAATTTATTTTATTTATATCTACCTTTTTTTTAATTATGTTATGTTAATCACCATACATTACATCACTAGTTTTTGATGTAGTGTTCCATGATTCATTGTTTGCGTATAACACCCAGTGCTCCATGCAGAACGTGCCCTCTTTAATACCCATCACCAGGCTAACCCATCCTCTCACCCTCCTCGCCTATAGAACCCTCATTTTTTTTTTTCAGAGTCCATCGTCTCTCATGGTTCGTCTCCCCCTCCGATTTCCCCCGCTTCATTCTTCCCCTCCTGCTATCTTCATCTTCTTCCTTTTTTTTCTTAACATATATTGCATTATTTATTTCAGAGGTACAGGTCTGTGATTCAGCAGTCTTGCACAATTCACAGCGCTCACCATAGCACATACCCTCCCCAGTGTCTATCACCCAGCCACCCCATCCCTCCCACCCCACCCCCCACTCCAGCAACCCTCAGTTTGTTTCCTGAGAGTAAGAATTCCTCATATCAGTGAGGTCATATGATACATTTCTTTCTCTGATTATTTTACTCAGCATAACACCCTCCAGTTCCATCCATGTTGTCTTGCCTTCTCTTAATTTCAACACTACCAAGCTGGTGCTACCTCCATATTTATGAGGGTAAACTGAAAAGTAATACCTCTTCTTATTGTAGCAAGTCAGTTTCTTTCCAAATGAATTATCCCAATATCCATATTTAATCTTTCCTCTCTCACCTTCCCTTGCATTCTCTTCCCAATACCTGAGGGTTTTTCCCCCATTTATTTCTAATATAATTTGAATGGAAGCTTTCTCATGGAAATGGAACCCCCCAGTATTGTGTGAATCAGTGCTAGCTGCCACAGCAGGCAACCCCAAATCTCAGAGGTTTAATGAATCGAAGGATTATTTCTCACTTCTAGGACATGTCTGTCTCAGGTCTGTAAGGGCCTTGTTCCAGTGTCACCCAGGTACCCAGGCTGAAGGAAGCTCTGTCCTCTTGCAGATAGAATATCTTAAAAATACAGCCTCTGATATTGCCAACTAAAGAGAAGAATGAGATGGAGGAGGCACCTAGCTCATAATTGTCTAGGCTTAGAAGTGACACCAGCCACTTCTCCTCATAGTCCACTGGCCAAAAGTAGTCATATGACCCCAGCCTGACTGCAAGGGAAGCTGGGAAATGCATGGGGCCACATGGAATATTTAGTGAGTACGAATTCTCTCTGTGGCCCCCGCTAATCAGTGTACTATGAATCCCAAGTTACATTATAATTTAAACAACTTTTATAATCTAAACAACTTTTGAATATAATTTGTGTATGATAGGATGCTAATCTATTCTCTGGACATTTGCTGGGTTTTATTCTTCCTTTATCAGTTTCTTCAAACTCACTCTCTAGCTTTAGCCTGAAATTTTTAGACCCAAAATATATAGACATGTTAAGAAAAAGTGTTGGGGACTATTAGTGGCCCCATCACTCTTTCTCTTTTAATTCCTCTCTGTATTGCTTGAAGTTCATCACAGCTTCTCCTCAGGAGGTATGTGTGTCAATGGGAAACTTATCTGCTTCCAGGTAGGGAACCTGACTTTATTTCTCTCTCTCTCTCATATCTATCTATCTATCTATCTATCTATCTATCTATCTATCTATCTATCTATCTATCATCTATCTATCTATCATCTATCATCTATTTGTTTTATTTAATCAATCTTTCATTCACTTATTTATTAATTTATATATATATATATTTTTTATTAATTTATATTTCTTAGTGGACCTTTTTCCCATGAAGTCAAAGCAAGTCAGTGATGGTGAAAATTCTTCACTCCAGCTTTTACTTGTTGGTGACAGTTTTCCTTTTCCTTTATTCTTTTTGTTTGGCCATGTTGTTTTTGGAGTGGTCTTACCTAGATGATAGATTATCATGGGACCATGGTGGATTGTGCAGGGGCTGCATGGGAGCAGACTTGGGCTGGGCTATGTTGTTCACAGGCCCAGCAGGTTCAGGTTGAAGGAGAGACTGCACTTATCACTGGATTTCTTGAGAACCTTTAGTGAGATGCATTGATAAAAGGGTCTTGCTTTTTATTGAGGCTGTCCTTCATATTATCTTGAGACCCTGGGATCTATTTCAATCTCCAAAGATAAGAATTTAGTTTAGGAAGGACTAGAGAACCTGCAATCGTCCATGGTCCTGGGAGAGAACTAGGAAGGTATGTGGGGGATCCTACAGAGTAGGACAGTTTCATGGATGCTAGTGATTCTTTTTGTTTCTTGAGGGGATTGGACAGAATTGAACTGACCTTCACCATGATCTCCATGGTCAGATCCTTTTACACTAATGTAACTATCTTCCTTTTAGAAGCAATGTGCCCTTTTGTGACCCCTTGCCTGCATCAAACCACTAGGGAAATACATGTCCTGATGGTGTTAACCCAACAGGAGAGCACAGAAGGAAGGAAGGAAGGAAGAAGAAAGGAAGAAAGGAAGGAAGGAGGGAGGGAGGAGATGTTACATTAACCTTTTCCCTTCCTTCTTTCTTCTGTTCTCAACAAGGCTTTTTGTGCTTTGTTGAAGGAAACAGCATCTCAAAGGCCTTTCTTCAGGCTTTGCTACAAGCATGTGTGCAGGAAGGCCAGATCAGGTTCTGGAAAAGAACCAGAAGGACATGGAGAGGCTGAATATAAAACACCTTTTGTTCTGTGGGGTTCCTGCCTGCAAATGAAATGTTGGTCATCAACTCGACTAGTACCAGAACCTGAGAAACAAGAAAGATGTTTTTAAAAAGATAAAAAAGATAGCAGCTCTTTCTTTCTCCTCGGGTATCGCAACCAGGAAAAGTTGTAAAGCCAATAAAATTTGAACTCTTGCCCAATTTGTATTCAATAAATAGTCCAACAATGCTTTCAGATTTAAAACAAAAGATCGTCCTGCAAACGAATGAATTTTTTCTTTCTTTTCTCTTCTTTAGGCTTTTCCTCCAAATGCTATCACTGCATTTTTTTACTGCAGTTCAGTGACTATATTCTTCACAATAATCAAATTGGTCAGTTATCGCCTACACCTCATGTTTGATAAAGGAGAATTAATTCAGCAGAGGCCCTCTGGAAAGAAAGAAAAGCCAAATAAAGACAAAGAGGCCAACAAGGAACATATAACTAATCACAAAATTCCAAGGTAACATTTCTATTAATGTGTCAGTTCATAATTTAAATGTTTTAGTTTTGGTTAAATTTTTTTTTCATTTATTAGTTGCTTACGAAAACACACCAGTATAGGCAGACACTAATATGTGCATTTTTCTTCTCTTGAAACATACACTTAAGCATAAAATCGATACTGATAATCAAGATGGTTTAACTATTCATTTGACCTTATATTGTGCTCTGGAATTCATTTGCATTAGGCTTAACACAGCCAAATATTTGACTTCAGTGTTTTTATCTTGTCATCTAAGTGCTTAGTGCATGCCAGAGTATTTTCAGAAAGAACATTTGTGTTTGTTAATATAGAAGTAATACACTGCACAGACTGAAAAACTAAAAGTGATTCGTGAGTGTCACTGTCACTATTCTTGTCTTTATTTCTGATAGTTCCTTTAGAAAGCATGCCTTATTTTAAAAGAATATTTATTATTCTCCCTTAAATACAAAATTTGTGTACCATGAATATTACAAAACAGATTCTAGGAAAAGGAGTTGGTTAAGGACTAATACAAAGTCATAGTTCTATTTGATAATATCACCGCTCTTGTGTTTCTTCTGTGCATTAGCAATAACAGGCAGATTAACAATGGCAAAAAGGAAGAGCCTCATCGAAGCCTCTCCACGCCTCCCCTCCGCTGCAGCTCCCGAGGGCAAAGCATAAACTCTCATCACTCATCTGGGCCACTGGTCAGTGTGGGTTTTTCTGTTTCATGCTGTTCTTGTCGCGTACTTGTTGATCATGCCTAAAACGGGAGCGTGCAAGGGTAGCAGTTCTAGTTGTCGCTACTGCCCTTGTGCTGGTGGTGTGCCACATCTCAGAGTGTGGAAGGGACCTCAGGGGAGCCCTTGGACCATGAGATAAACACCCAGTCAGGTGCTGGACACACCGCCCCGGCCTACCCCCGCCGGGCCTGCCACCCTGGCCCGAAGAACCTATCAGTAGACCTTGACCTCCTTCTCCCCTCTCCTGTCATTCATTGTCTTCCCCTGGAATCAACTGCACCACTCCACATTAAATCACAGCTGTCCCTTGGGAAGTCAATAAACCCCTTTGCTCTAGATGAGCCTTACTGGGCTTTATTCGCGGTCATGCACGGTAGCACATTCTTCTCTCTCCTTTTTACTTTCTTAATTAGCAAACGCCTTTTATCACAGTACAGTGGTCTTGCTTGGTTATCTGCACTTACCTATATTCTGTATTCGTTTTTGCTATCCATTTTATTAGAGGCTTACGCAGAGTGGACACTGTATAGTCTCTTCCCCACGTGCCATTGGGAAAACGAGTAGCTTGCCACTCCGCGCCTGCTGACTGCCTGGAAATGGGCACTGAGCTGAGTCACATATTGATTTTTGTTCTTCCATTTGTTTAGGAGTTGCCGGCACAGGAAACAGTGGAAGATCTCAAAGGTAGAGTGTTTCTTATCACCATTTAATAATTGATCACAGTATTATCTTCAGTGAAGTGAAAAAGAACTTTTGGAAAACAGAATGCCAGTGAATTAATTCAAAATAAGAACCGTACCTAAGACTGCATAGTTTTATTTCAACTTCGTTTCTTCAACTCTTAATTTTAATTATTTCTCATCAGATTTTGTACACTGCGCCTACTTTTAAATTGAATGTTTTATCGAATCCTATGTCATTTTCCTTTCTCCAGTTTGTGCTTATTTCATGTGGCTCAGAACGGCAGATAAAAAACTGGATTAATTCACCATTGGCGTACAAACTTCTTATCTTAGTACTTGCATTGAAAAATGACAGAGGAAATGATATTGCATTCCGTATACCGCATCTCCTTCAAGTTGCCAATTTTGTTTCTGGGAACTTTCTTTTAAGCCCCCAGATTTTTATTTTCCATTTTCACAAAGATTTCGTTTTATTATCTTTTGATTGCCTTCAGAAGACTCAGAAAAGAGTTTTTGGAGACCTGAATTAACTACTTCCTTTCTCTGCATTTTTATTTTTTTGTAGTGCTACTGTAAAGAGAAATGTATGCTTTATTTAAATTTTGAAAGTAGTGTACAATTTTATCTTCAGGAAAACAGCTGAAATTAGCTCTTGGGTCTGAAAACCTAAAATGAAGTTTCTTTTGTCATCACTCAGCTAATTTCCCTGACAATAATGTGTAAAGGATTATTCACATTCTTTTTTCTGTATTACTACTATTGAAAAGAAGTGAACTTTAGCTAGGTTTCAGCTATTTTAGTTACCCACAAAGTTTCATAACACACACACACACACACACACACACACGTTGTTTTGTCATATTAGACTACTTATTCCAGATCAAGCTATTAACAGTATTACTCTACATCCTTTCAATGTCTGTTCTGGGCTTTTGACTTCACCATTCCAATTGAAACAATTCCTTCCTTCCTTCCTTCCTTGTACTAGGAATTACAGTAGAGGCTCTGCATATATCATTTCATTCTGAGTCATAACAAGTCAACTGTACAGGGTGGCATTTAGTCCCACAACTGACTGCTAAGTCCAATGTTTTTTCAACAACACTGCACTGGAGCAATTTTTTTTCCTTAGACCAATCTCATAATACACCATCCTAGTATTCAGTTCTTTTCGTTGTTAAAAGGCACAATGGTGTTCTTCTTTAAACAGGTCTACTGAGATATAATTCAGATGCCATACAATTCACCCATTCAAAGTATATAATTCAATAACTTTTAGCATATTCACAGAGTTGTATATCCATCATCACAATCAATTTCAGAATATTTTCATTACCTGGAAAAAAAACCCCAGACTGCTTAGCCATACTCCTCAATCTCCCCGTCTTCTCCAGCCCCGGGCAACCACTAATGTACTTTCTGTCTCTATGGATTTGTCCATTCTGGACATTTCATATAATGTGTGATCTCTTGTGACTGGCTCCCTTCAATTAGCATAATGTTTTCAAGGTTTATATATGTTGTAGCTTGTATCAGTGCTTCACTTCACTTCATTGCCAAATAATATTCTGTTAAATGACTGTACCATGTTTTATTTATCTATTCATCAGTTGATGAACTTTGGGTTCTTTGCACTTTTTTTTGCTATTATAAATAATGCTTCAGTGAACATTCATTGTGCAAGTTTTTGTGTGGACATGTGTTTTCATTTTCTTGACTATATACCTAAGAATGGCATTGCTGGATCATGTAGTAACTCTGTTTTACCATTTGAGGATCTACCAGACTGTTTTAGAAGGCAGGTGCATCATTTTACATTCCTATCATCAATATATGAAGATCACAATTTCTCCATGTCTTTGATGATACTTGTTATTGACTATTTGTTCGAATATAGCCATTCCAGTGGGTGTGAAATGGTATCTCACTGTGACTTTGATTTGCATGAAATTAGTCACTTTTCTAATGACTAATGATATTGATGTTTCATCATCATCATTATCTTTAGAGAAATGTCTATTCAAGTATTTTGCCCAGTTTTTAATCAGGTTGTAATTTAATTGGTGAGTTGTAAGAGTTCTTTATATATTTTTGATACAAGTCCCTGATCAGATATATTTGCAAATATTTTCTCCCACTCTGTGGTTTGTCTTGTCACTTTCTTATTGGGGTCCTTTAAAGTATAAAAGTTTTTAATTTTCATGAAGTCCACTTTATCGTTTTTTGTTATTGTAGTTGCTTGGGCTTTTGGTGCCATATATAAGAAACCATTGCTGAATGTGAGGTCATAAAGATTTATCCCTATGTTTTATTCTAAGAGTTTTATAGTGTTAATTCTTATAATCAGGTCTATGATCCATTTTGAATTAATTTTTGTGAATGATGTGGGGTCGGGCTTCAACTTAATTCTTTTGCATAATGTTTATTAGTTGTCCTAGGATCATTTATTGAACAGACTATTTCCCCGCCCCCCCCATCAACTTGTCGTGGCATCCTATTGAAAATCAATTGGACCTTACAATAAGGGTTTATTTTTGGACTTTCAATTCTGTTCTTTTGGTCTATATATCTACCATTATGCCATCATCATACCATATTGATTGCAGTTGCTGTGTAATAAGTTTTGAAATTGGGAACTGTGAGTCCTCTAACTTATTTTAGCTATCCTGGGTCTTGTACATTTCCATGTGAACTATCAATTTCTTAAAAAAAAATCTGGGATATTATAAGGATTGTATTAAATCTGTAGAAAAATTTGGGGAGAATTGCCATCTTAACAATATTATGTTTTCCAATCCATGAACTTGGGATGTCTTTCCATTTATTTGGATCTTTGAATTCTTTTGACGATGTTCTGTAGTCTTCAGTGCACAAGTCTTGTACTCTTGTTATATTTATTCCTAAGTATTTTATTTTTTTTAGATGCTGTTATAACTGGGATTGTATTCTTAATTTCATTTTAGCTTGTCTATTGCTAGTGTATGGAAATAGAATTGATTTTTGCACATTGATTTTCTATTGTACAAACTTCCTGAATGTTCATTAGTTCTAAGTTTTTTTAGTGAATTCCTTAGGATTTTCTATGTACAGAATGATTATCATCTGTGAATAGAAATCTTTTGCTTTTCCCTTTCTAATCTAGTTGCCTTTTATTTCTTTTTCTTGACTAATTGCCCTGTGTACAATTTCCAGTACAATGTTTATTGAATGTTGTAAGAGTGGATATCATTGTCTGTTTCTGATCTTATGGGAAAAGCATTCAGTCTTTCACCATTACATATGATGTTAGTTTTCGAGTGTTTCATAAATAGCCTCTATCAGGTTGAGAAAATTCTCTTCTATCTCAGTTTGTTGAATATTTTTGTCATGAGAGGGTACTGGATTTTGTCAGAGGCTTTTCTGCATCTAGTGACATAATCATATAGTTTTGCCATAGTGTCTTTCTTGACATATATATATTTTTAGTAATACAGTATGTTTTTACAGTTAAAGTGTCAAGGATAGAAAACAAATGACTACATTTGGTTAGATTTCATTGCTAAGCAATATCTTGGTGGAGTCATTTGGGGCAACTATTTTTCTTGGTTTTCCAGGTAGGAAATTCATTATTGCATTTTTACTTAGGGTTAAGCAGGTACTGAGGTGTGACGTGCTAATGTATTCACAAAAGACCCACTTATAGGCCACAGTATGACTTTATTCATGTATATGCAGTAAGTTGTAGTTGACCAACTTTCTTCTCTTGGCTTTCTTTTCTTGGCTTTTTACGTTTTCTTGATTGTCTTCCCTCTCAGTGTCCTTTGATCCTCCTCTGTTGTTTGACATATAAAAGCTGGAGTATCCTTGGTCTTGGTCTTGGGTCCCTTTCTCTTCTCTAGATACTAGGTCTCCATTGGCGATCTCATATCTAGCTTTAAATACCATCTATGTGATGATGGTGAGTAAATCTGTTTCTCCAGTTTTGACCTCTGTCTGGACTTCAGTCTCATGCATCCAGCTGCTTACACCTATTTCCTCCTGGATAAGATGTCTGATAGTCATATTAAATGGATCCCACTTGATCTCTCCATTGCTGTCTCTAAATCTGTACTTCCTCTGGGTTTCTCCTTATCAATAAACAGTCCCAGCACCAATCCCATTATCAAAGCTTTAAAATCAAGGAGTTTTCCTTGGTTTGTCTTTCCCTCACTACCTTTAGCTTTAATTCATCAGCAAGTTCTGTCAATTTTACTCCAAAACATATTTCAAATTTGTCTATTTCTCTCCATGTCCACCACTACTGCCCTAGTCCAAAACACCATTATTCATCAACTGCAACAGCTTCTTCCCTGGTCTCTCTTCTTCCATTTTTTTTTTTTTTTCTTTATGAAGAAGAGGTCTTGTAGTGCCCTTCTGTTCTTCCAATTTTGTCATACTTCACCACAGTCTACCCCTCATGCAGTAGGCAGGGTTATTTTTAACAACCTAATTCAGATCATGTGCTCCTTTGAAAAACTCCTGCTGGGTTCACATTATTCTTAGAATAAAATCCAAGCTCCACACTGCTGGCCTTGTTGATCTCTCTTGCTCTCATTCTCCCTTTGCTTTTTCTACTCCAGCTTCACGGACTTTCTTTCTCTTCCCCAAACATGCCAAGTGAGTTCCCATCACAGGGTCTTTGCATTAAGTCCTTATTTGTTTTAAAACCTGGGGTGCTCTTTCTTCTCATCTTTATGTCAGGAAATGGTCCTATTGGCTTATTAATCTGTACAATCATAATTGTGTGGTGTGGGAGGTAATGAAGCAATAAAAATGCGTTATGAATGTGTTCTATAGACCCAACCCAATACCTTGTTCCTGAGGCCCTGCCTGGTGGTTTGGATTTCTCATGCAATATTCTCAACAAATGCACTTGATATTGGTCAGTCAAGGACAACCTCTTTGATGAGACAATATTCAAGTTGAGATCTGAATGGCAAAGTAAAGGAGGCATACACATAGATAGAGAGAGAGGCCACGTGAGGGAGTAGAGGAGGGTCAGATCAAGACTCAGAGGATCTGGGCTCTACACTCAGCTCCATCAGTAGCGTGGTAAACTTGGACAAGTTTCTTGACCCTTCTGTTCTTCTATTTCCATGAAAAGGTATCTACTCTGTATAGTTGGAAAACCTGCATAGGGTTGCTACAAAGTAAAATGATCTTCACTGTTATCGTCAGCTAACATTCTTGAGTGTGGATAAAATAACTGGCTGGTTTCTTTGGAGGATTCAATGAGTATGAACTATGGTTGTTTTTCTAGAACTCTGTACGATCCAGTTAGGAAGATAATTTATATAAATAAAGCTATAGTTTAAAAAGTATATGGTAAGTAAAGTTTAGTTCTATAGACATTAATTGCTTAAGGAGTTCAGAAGAAAGCTTATTTCTGGTTTAGGTGATCAGGGGAAGTTACATGTTGAAGGAGGGATATGAAAAAAGCCTTGAGTGGGGTCTTCAGTGGGTGAAGAAAAAGAGCATTCCAGGTGGGAGAGCTATGTCCAGAGTTTGTACTCAATTCTTTCTACAAAGTGCGCCTGGTGGCAGAGGAGAGTAAGTAAGCCCCCAGAGAATAGTCTTCATGATAGAAGTGAACGAAAATTGAGGATATTTATTGACTGAATGACAATAAGGCTAAGCAAGAAAGAACAACGAAAAGATTACCCCAAGATTTCAAGCCTAAGAGACTTAGGGAATGGCAGGGTCATTAACAGAGGGAAGCTGGGAGAAGGACAGAGCTCACTTTCAGCCACCATCATAAGTATGTATTATTGCAGATACAATTTAGAAATGTTTTGAAAAATCTATGAACCACATTGGAAATGTGAGGTTATTATTTTCCTCAGGTCAAGGCCCCAGCAAGCCCATTGCTAAGCCCTTGGCCTGGTGCTTTCCATGTCTTTCCTTATAGATCCTCTTGAGAGCCTTAAGAGGTTGGTATAATTATTCCTATTTTACAGAGAGGAGGTTGAAGATTAGAACAGTGGTTCTCAACTGGGGGTTTCTCCCTAGGGAACATTCGATAATTTCCGAAGGCATTTTCCATTGTCATGATTGAGGACAGAGTTGCGACGGGTATCAAGTAGGTAGAGGCCAGGGATGCTGCTAAACATCTTACAGCGCGTGGGACAGCCCCCCACAGGAAAGATTTATCCGGTCCAAAATGTCAGTAGCTCCGCAGTTGAGGATCTTGGTTTAGAGGGATTAGGTAATTTGCCCAAGGTAACGCAGCTAGTAAGTAGCAGAGCCAGGACCTTTCCGATAGGGCGACCCGCCCGCCTCCCAAGGCCACACACCAGCAAAATCTAAAAGCCTGAATTATTATTTTAAATGCGGAGATTTTAAGAGCAATTTCACAGTGGAGGTGATATTTAAAAAATAAGCGTCCAGTCACAGGGGTGGCCAGAGCTCCTCCTAGCTTTGTCGTTAGGAGGCCTTGTGCGGGCGCTACTCATCCAGTTCGGGAGCTAATGCAGTTCTGCTCCATTTCAGGTGTCCTTCTCTTGGAAGACCAAGCGGTAGGACCGGCGTCCTCTACCTCACCCGCTGTCAAAATGGAAAGCTCAGCTGCTTGTAGAGCGTCCGGCCGGGAAACCATGACCGCACCAGCAGTACCCACGGAGCCAGCTGTGGCAGAACCTGGAATCGGCGACACAGCGAAGGAGAGGGGAGGCCAGGCGCAGCCCCCCAAGGGCCGCCACAGATCCGAGGGCGGCTCAGTGGAGAAGGAGGCCTTGACGAAGTCGCCGCAGCTGTCCTTGTCTCAGTACGACCCACTAGAAACGGACGTTTCCTTCCAGCCCTGGGGCAGCGACAATTCCGTCCGGAGTGCGGAACCTGTGGTTTGTGCCCAGGGCTCCTTAAGGGAACAGTGGCAAAGCCAGTCAGCCGAGGACAGCCTGAGCGGCAGCGGCCCCCAGTGCAACACGGTGATCGCCAGAGCCGCGCGCCCCGCGCCCGGCGCCCCCGGGCGCGCGGACCCGCCGCCGACGCACGAAGTGGACGGCTCGGACAGTGAGGTGGCTGTCACTCTCATTGACACTTCTCAACCTGGAGACCCGCTGAGTCTGCGGGAGCCCATTAAAATCGTCATCACCATGAGCAGCGGCCCGAACTCCCTGACGGACTTGGAAAGCTCGCTCCCGCTGAAGGTGATCGGCACCGAGAGGGCCGGCTTGAAGTCCGACGCCGAGCCGGCCGCCCCGGGGGTGGCCAGTCCTCCCAGCACGCGGCAGAGAATTCCTGTCATCACCCTTGAGCTCTCCGAGGACGCGGGAGGGGGCGCTCTGTGTCCCGAAGGCAAGGGAAGTGACGGGACCCCGGAGAGATTGACGGTGGAGGCGTCATCCAATCCGTGTTCGGGCTCTGAATCCGGGGAGGGGGGAAATGCCCCAAAGGACGGCAGTCCGTCCCCGCGAGACCGCTGTGACGCAAGGCCCCCCTTCACACCTCACGAGGTCCCCGAGTCTGAGGGGGGAAAGGAAGGCCAGGCTAACCTTGACCCGTCATCCTGTAAAACTAGCCACGAAAAGAGACACACCCGGGTTCTCAGTGTGGACAGTGGGACGGATGTCTTCCTGAGCAAAACTTCCACAGACATGATCAACGATAAAGAAAAAACAATGCCAACTTCCAAATCTGACCTAGAGGCTAAGGAAGGACAGATACCAAATGAGTCCAACTTCCTGGAATTTGTCTCCCTATTAGAATCAATCAGTACGTCCAAGCTGGCGGCATCCAGCCAAAGGAGTGGCCCAGGAGAGCAGGACAAAAACAGTGGGCTTCTCGGAGGTACGATTCCACATCAGTTGTGTCGTGATGGCACAGAGAAGGCAATCCATATCCCAATGAGCTTCTGTGATTTGGTTTTGCAAATATTGGGTCACTGCTGCTTTGGTGATATTATTGGTAATTGCCAGATGTGCCAGTACTAAGCGGTGTGTTGAGCATATATTAACATTGGCTTACTCCAGCAGGAAATTGAAGGCAGAGTAGTGAATGTTTCGCTTCCCTAGGAGGCAACAATATTTATTTCCAGGGAAATGAGCAATTATATTTTATCCCCATGACAAGAACTCACAGATTTCTCCCCCTTTACGGAACTGATGCATTCTGGGAAAGCTGATTGTAAAGCACATTTCTGTGAGGTGAACCCACTTTTCTGTTGAATTCCATTATGAAATCCTTGTATGCAGAACTCCCTAATTATCCCGACTTGTAAACATAATTATAACAAACACGCAGCTCCTAGTGTGTGCCACGCACTGTCCTAAGCACTTCGTGTGTATCAACAGGGATGACTGTACATTGTGGTTTGCCCTGGAGGGTCCTCATTTACACCATTTTGCCACCACAGTTAGTAATAGCACTGCCTTTCACCCTCAGAGGTGTTCCCAGTTTGAACAATAAATTATACAGTTACTTTCATCTTAACTCATTTACTCCTCATAGAACCTTATATTATGGGTACTATTATTTCCCTTTTGCAGATGAAGCTCAGAGGTTTTCACTAACTTTCCCAAGTGAGTCTAGTAAGTCTAGGAGAAGTACCAGAACTGAGCTTTGATTCCAGGCAATCTTGATCCAGAGCCAGTGCTGCTACAAACTATATTTCCTTTATGAATGTGAGATTCATTTCTTTTCCACTTGCTTAATATCTCTGGGCTCCATATCCTCACTGGCTAAAGGATGTTACTGGACTAGAGGTTTCACAAAATCTTTTAACTTTAAATGTCCATGTTCCTGTGATTGTTGAGTACATTTCTGCCTATGTATCTGATAAAATAATGTCTGTATGGTAGGCTTGCTTGCTGGCAGTTTGATTTGCACATGCGGGCTCCTTTCCTTTGCTCCTTTCCTTTCTCTGCTACTCCCAGAATGCGTAGCACTTAGTGCCAGAACTGTCCTTTTGCCCGTGGATGTTCCCTGCTCTCTGGGACAGTCAGGGGCCCCTCTGGCTCCATGTTGGCAATGACCAGCAATTTGCTCATTTCTTTTGCTTTTCCAGTGTCTGCCAAAAGGATTGCTGTGCTTGTCAATTGGCCCACCTTTACTTAAAAACACATTAAGTCTGGGTATTTAACTTATGTAAAGCGAATGTATTCTTCATTTTACTATGTCTCTATATCTAAGAGTCTGCATATAGAGTGATAAGAACAGGGAAGATTCAGGTAAATATTTTAACAACCCGGGCAGTACAAGAAAGCATTGGTTACTTTGGGATAAAAATCTTTCTGATACAGGATTTGGGGGGTTCATCTGTTTTATATAAATATTCATGCATCTAGATTAGCACTGTCCAATGCAACTTTCTGCAGTGATGGAAATAGCCCATGTCTACTTGTCCAGTACAGTAGCCATTAGCCACAGGTAGCTGTTAAACACTTGAAATGGGGATTGTGCAGCTGAGCAACTGAATTTTTAATGTTATTAAATTTAAATAGCCCCACGTGGCTGCTGGCCACCGTATCAGACAGCGCTGATCCGTACATGTGTGTCTGCCCAGGATGCAGTGTGTATGGTGGATGGAGTATCAGCTTCGGAACCTCCGAGCCCAGGGCCAAATTTTGGTTTTGCAGTACCAGCTGGGTGAGGTTGGACAACTTACTAAATCCATCTGAGTCACAGTTTCTTCAGAAAAGCAGGAATAACGAACGACAGGTTACAGATTTACTGTGAGGATCCAATTAGGAAAATATGTGAAAAGTTTTGCTCCTTGATCAATTTCAGCCTTTTATTCTGAATTTCCCGTCAGGCCATACGTAAGGTTTATTTTATTTGTCCACTTAAGTTTCTGCTCTTCTTGAATTTTTCAGCCAACCACATTCAATCCAAACAGTATAAAATTGGAAATCTAGGGGTGTGCAAAGAAATATGGATGCTATAAGGTTTTCTATGGAAAGGAACAGGCCTGCAGGTACAGCAGGGAGGGAGGAACTGGAGTGGATTATATGCCTCTTCCAGGAAAGGACAGAGGTTTTTGATTGAAGGATGAAAGAGAAGGACATAAGTCTTTTAGTTCTTGGAAGGCAAGAACGAAAGGTGGCAAATTAGATGCTGTTTCAGTGGTGCCTTATGACTTTGAGATCGATAACATCTTCTTGCTCCTCTATTACTACATAATAACTTGCTATGTGTTGTAATCTAAAAACCCATTTCAGAGTGTATTTCTAAGACAACATGACAGTGTTGAATGATATCAGCAGCCTAGGCAATGTGCCCTTATCTTTCCCCTGCTTGATAGTGAAATAATGCTTGACCTTTACACGATTGTAAGATACATGATTTCTCAGTTCTCTCGATGGTATTCTTATATTTCCAACCCAGGTCCTTTCCGCAAAGGGCTTTATGATTATCTTCAGGCCTTGGGTATATACTAAGGTTCTAGGCTATGAAAAACCACACTCTTATCAAAAGCTTTTAAAACCATGTTTTCATTTTGTTTTGTTTTGATACGCCTTTCTTTTACTTTGTGGGAATAAACCAAGACCACTCAAGTGAGAAGCAAAGGCTATTACTCAGAGCTTGCTACAGCAAGGGAGTCGCCACTATTACCTGAGTTTTGGCAGAGACTCAAAGGCAGGCAGAGGAGTGGGAAAGCTTTGTAGTGGGGAGAGGAAAGGCTTTAGGTTTGCTCTGACCAGAGGCTGGTAAGCTAGAGGCAGGCTAATTAGAGCATCCTGTGTGATTGGTCATGGGAATATATTTGGCTTTCTCTGGTTGGAAGCAGGGACAAAAATCAGGGAAGCTCTCAGTAATTAATCAAGCCCTGGCCATTTGGGGCCAATTATTATGGGGGTTATTGTTTGGCTTTCAGGACTCTTTGCTAGAAATAATGATCTGACTTCCTACAAGTCTGACTTACACATAGCATATTCGCTTCCTGGGCTGGTTGTTGTAGATTGTCGGTCAGAGTTCTACTTTTATAGAGATCCTATTTCATATTCTGTCTCTTCTAGAATTTCTAAGAAAATAATCCTAAATGAAGGCAGAGATGCTTTTTGAAGAATTATCCAAAGTATGTAAGAATTGAAACAACCTAAATTTACAACAATAGGGATCTAGTTCAGTAAATTATGCGGTATCAATGTAATATTATATAACTACCATTTTTAGATGATGTAGAAGAATATCTAACCTCATTAAATATTTCTACTTTAACATAATCATTAAATATCTATATTGTGACTTAACTTTTATAGAACAAAAAAGCATATATGCAAAAAAAAAAAAAAAGACTGGTGTGCTATGTATCAAATTGGCTCCTGTATCAGCATGGTGGGGTTAAGACTGATTTAGAATTTTTTCTTTTCTCTTGCTTTAAATTACATACAATTAAGGTGCACCATTTTTTATAGACAGAAAATTCCTACAAATGTGTTATTTTGAAGGGGAAAAAGGAAAACAAGTAGTCTATATGTAGACATATGTAATGTACCCATTTAAGAGAAGGGGCTACTAAAATATGAGAGGGAGACATGAACAAATGAGTCCAGATACATATAGCGTGAAGGGGGAGAAAGCATTTGCTTTCGCCATTGTGTATGCGATATGATCACTGGCCAAAGCTACTTGTTATGATAGCCCTTTCTCACAAATGTGTTTCTTGAAAACTGTGAAAACTTATGTCTTGACAAGCTGTCAAACGAAAGGCAAACATTTTTGTATCAAAGAAATTCTAATGGTAGTTTCACAGATGTGCTGGGAATGTTTATCTTCAGGACTCACAGAGAAGCCAGCAATGTTTCTCTTGAAGTCTGAGGACGAAAACTTTATACCCCAGGAAGCAAACATAATTCTCCTTTTTGAGGGCCCGGGCAGATCTTGGTGGGCTTTGCGAGTGGCATGTCTTGAAAGGGCCTATAGATTCAAGCCACTCACTTGTGTTCTTAGGCAATTTACTTGGAAGAAGATAGCTCTTGGTGTCTTCGGTCTTGGGAAAAGAGAGGTCATTATAGCCCCAAAAATGGCCGTTGGGGTATATCCTCAGACAAGGAAGGGCTGACCCTTAGGGGTGGATTCCACTGTGCGTAGTGTGTAAGCTAAGACTCTTATTTTGGTCAGTTATTTAAGGAGGATCGTAAAAACTCAAATGACCAATCTGTACCTATTGATCTTGGCATTCTTATTCACTTTAAAATACTCTCAGGGCAAGGAGCATGTGTAGGATCTCACTGTGCCTTCCACAGGGCCAAGTATATAGTGTGAAGTCAGCTAGACTCGAGTGTCTACTTTATGAAGGGACTGAGTCTACCTTTACCTTGAAAATCTGGACATGGAGAATGAGTGAGAAGGAATGATTGATAAGATTTTAAAGTGGTAAATGGGACCTTGCTCCAAAATAGCCAAGTTTGTTTATGAAATTTATTTTCCATCTGACACTGCCCATTTATGAGCTATGAACCTTTCAAGCCCAAGTAATCCAAATGGGTGATTTTCAACCAGCTAAGCCAGTGGTCACTGGAGTTATGTCAAGGGAATCCCAAAATCTGCACATAAAGTAGATGGTGTCCATAGATGTCTAAATAACTTGTCTCCAACATCTATGTGCTTATGTTTTTCAAATATATTTAGGAACTTCCATAATTAGTAAAATTAAAATTTATTTAAACACATTCTGAATTCATAGGTGCTATATAGATTTTCTGTCTATTCTTGTTTCAGTTTGGTAACTTATTTCCAAGTGCTTTCACATTAATTTCTTATTTAATATTATGTTCACACACAAAGCAATGTTTTTCAGATAACTGCTCCCATGAGGAAAAGGAGGAAATCCAAGAAAGTAAAAAGCCTAATGAACACAGTTCCAAGCAAGGAAAACCAGACCTGCCAAGTCAAGACCACACTAGCACCAGCCCGGTGCTCACTGAGCCTGCCAAGATCACGACCCTGTGAGCGTAACTTACTTACTTAGCTTCGTGTTGGTACGAAGCGTGAAGCAGCTTCATTTCGGTGGCTGCTTCTTTTAATGATTTGTTAAGGATACGGAGGAGTTCCGAATAGTTTTTGAAACTTTTATATATGTTAAGTTTCCAGGGCAATAGACAAAGACAAATAATCTACAGGGTAACTTCCCAGCAAGATAGTTCTGTCTTGCAAGTCATCAGTGGGCCTGAAACATCTGTGCAAGATGAGATGTCTGTGGATGCTATGCATGTCTTCATTGATGAACATGGTAAGTCTTTAGAGCTCTTTACTAAGGAGGAAGAAGGGATAAAGCTGGTGGCTTTCTCACACCCACGTGGTCTCTTAGCCTCAGTACTAGACTTTGGAACAGGAAGACTTAGTCCTGTGATTGCTCACATACAATGTTCTTAGAGCAGAGTGCCCCCTCCTACCTCAGGGCCTTTGCACATAGCATATCCCCATGCCAACAATGTGCAGTTTATCCTTCATATCTTAATTCTAAAGACGGTTCTTCAGGAAAACCTTTCCTGGACTCCCCAGACTTAATCAGGTTCCTATGCTTTTTGCTCTCTGAACACCCTGTCCTTTTTCCTTCTTTGATACTATTACAGCTTCTGATTATTTATTGACTTATAATTTGATTAATGGTGTTGTCCACCTCACAGTTGTGAACTTGAGGAAAGCAGTGCCTGGCACCTAGTAAATATTCCTTGGATGTATGTTGAAAATCTGACCTTGATATATATATTTTAGTGCCTTGTTACAAAAAGGATTTAAAATAGAAAAAGGAAGAAAAAAAGGAGAAGGAAGGAAGGGTAGAAAGAAAGCGAGAAAGAAAAAGAAAGAATTTTAAGTGGCAAGTTCAAAGTTCTGTAGATAAGGGATATAGGTCCTTGTTTTTTGAGGATGGGTCTTTGGCTTAAGTCCCTTATAGCTCAATTAAGGTTTGTTATTTTACTCTCAAAAAGATCCTGGTTTGCATAATAAATTATATGTTAACCCTATCTACAGATGAGTAGCTTAAGGTTTGAAGTGCTTTTGCATCTGCAGAAATACAAAGAACTCTTTTACATTATAAAGAACAACATTAACCCTTCTATCAAAGCCTCCAGGGGGGCTTGGGTTTGTCCTCATTAATGTATCTCTCTGTGGGCAGCGTCTCCAGGTTGAGGTCCGGTCCTTCAGTCTCCATTCCAGCTGCTTGTCACCAACAGGGTTAATTACGCACCCGTGTCACCTGAAGAAGGTATTCCTAAAACCTCTTCTCGAGGGAGACCACTGACATTTACAAAGTGAACTGATTTTCACACCATAATACCCTGAACCTCTTTAGCAAGCTAATTTAACTCTGCAAATTAATCCCATCTCTTGGTTTTCCTCATTACCAGCGTGCTCCACCACTGCTCATCTGCAGATTCCGAGGTGGGGATGGTCTCATGCGGGCCACCAATCAAAGCTGCACTGCGATAAGCCTTTTTTTGCATGGGATACAAAAAAACCCCAGTCATGGCTTACACTGACCATACTGACACATGATGAAAACATGCAGAACAGCGAACTGAAGGGAATACAGTTGACCCCTGAACAACATGGGGTTGAACCGTGCAGGTCTACTTGTACACGGGTTTTTTTTTTTGATAAATACAGTGCAGTATTGTAAATGTATTTTCTCTTCCTTATGACTTTCCTAATAACATTTTCTTTTCTCTGGCTTACTTTATTATAAGTAAACAATATATGAAACATATAGGGGCGCCTGGGTGGCTCAGTCGTTAAGCGTCTGCCTTCGGCTCAGGTCATGATCCCAGGGTCCTGGGATCGAGCCCTGCATCGGGCTCCTTGCTCCGTGGGAAGCCTGCTTCTCCCTCTCCTACTCCCCCTGCTTGTGTTCCCTCTCTGGCTGTGTCTCTCTCTGTCAGATAAGTAAATAAAATCTTTAAAAAAAAAAAAAAGAAAACAACATATAAAACATAACAACATTCGAACTGTGTGTCAATTGACTTTATGTTATGGGTAAGGCTTTTGGTCACCAACAGGCTATTAGTAGTGAAGTTTTGGGGGAGTCAAAAGTTATATGTGGATTTTCAACTGCGTGGGTGGTAGGTGCCTTTAACCTCCACGTTGTCCCAGGGTCAAATGTATATAAAAGTGAATTAAGAGATGGTGCAAATTAATCGATAAAAAGCAATTAAGTAATAGGTAACTGAGGCAAACTTGTCTAAGCATATTATTACAGGGGTATGTCAAGATGATTTTTCTTAGTTAAGTTACACATCCTGTGGAAAAATAAAGGAATGGACCTAGATTACCGATTATTATTAAAACAGTCTAAAATGAGTTCCCTCTAACTTGAAAAAAGTATAAGCTGAAATGATCAGATACCAATAATTGTCTAATATTCTTTGCTGAAATTTTGTGATTTTCCAGGGGAAATTAGATCCTGTTACTTAAAGTCTGGAAATCAGAAAGAAGGCCCTTTACAGCATCCACCATCAAATTATGACAGTCTCTCTCATGCTCGGTAAGTGGAGGTTTGGTTTCAGGTTTGGGAGCTGTCGCGTTGCTGGGGGACATGCAAATTACTCTGACTGTAAATGAAGTGAGGATCCTGGTTTAGAATCAATGTGTTAATCCGTTTGTAGGTGTCAAAGCATGTGGGTTTTGTGTGCGAGTAAGAAAATCCGATGTTGTAGAAAAATAAAAAATAAATTGAACTGTTTTCATAGTAGCTGGGTCCAAAAATGAATATAAACATGTAAATATAAATAGGAATCCTGTGCAGGCAATAGTGCTCCCTTCAGGTAAGACGGTGATGCAGCTCGAGAACATGTTCTTAAATTTGTCCCGAGGAATGGACCAGAAACGTAGTTAGTTCTCATCCGCACTAGTGAAGGCTAGCTCTTTTGTAGATAGGTGATCTAAACATTTGTTCTATTTTCCCTCCTTCAGAATGTATTGAATAACTTTCTAAATTTGTTAATTAAGTTGATATTAAATTAGCTTATGTATCTGGAACATACCTGGATTCATACCTGGATTCATGGCAGCACTGGGCAAGCTATAAATCTTACTCGTGGTGGATTGAATTCATTGTTCATTCTGGACTTCAAGATTCTTTTTTTTTTTTTAAGATTTATTTATTTATTTGTGAGGGAGCTCAAGCATGTGTCTGAGCAGCGGATGGGGGTGCAGGTGTGGGGGAGGGAAGAGGAGAGGGAAAGAATCTCAAGCAGACTCCCTGCTGAGTGCAGAGCCCGGTGGGACTCACTCTCATGACCCTGTGATCATGACCTGAGCCAAAAATGAATGCTTAACTGACTGAGCCACCCAGGCACCCCTGGACTTCAAGATTCTTTGAGGATAATCCATGTAGACGGACTCAGTTGCTTGCTCTAAGTGTGGAAGTACATTTTTCATGTACATTTCGTTAGAATTGTATGTATATTTGAAGATTTTTGGGAGTCCTTTGTGGTGTGATTGGAATGCCTTAGGCTTCATGCCTGCAGAGTACAAAGAGAGTTACAGGAACCTCAATTCCAGATCCTGTGGTTGAGTGCTCCTTCCCAAGGTCAAAGTTCCCTGAACGAGTGTGCCCAGGAAATTCAAGGAGGAGCCTCCCAAGGGCCTCGAAGAAAGTTCATCTTGGACCTTGCAGTCTGGTCTCCAGCTGGGATTTTGTTGTGTGCCAGCCTTCTACGGCGTTCCCTCACTGTTGTCACTGCTGCAGAAAAAGCTGGTGTCGGCTGTTCCGGCAGACCTGATGGGTACTGTGGGCGGTGGCTCCCCCCAGGCCACGCCGTCCCACCTGGGCCCCGACCCCGAAGCAGGGTGCTGCGTCCAGAGTCACTCCTGTGGGGAAACGGGCATGTTCTCCTTCCCCTCATCCTCTGTCTCCTTCAGGTGCCCACATTCCAGTCAAAACAGAAAACAAAATTCTTCTTCTCCAGCCAAGAAACACGCAAAGTTTCCATGCAAAAGTCTCCCTAGAGGAGAGGGAGGTTTGCTGTCCACACCTCGGCCCCAGCCCCAGGACATTTCGTGACAGTGGCTCGATGGATTTAGGGGTCTAAGATGGCAGCTTTCTTGGCCCAAGTATTTAATTCCGTGTGAACACAGCTTTGAAAGTGGTCACATTTTTCTGCAATCCTCAGTTGGAAGCTGTAGTGTTTTAAAACTAAATTTAGAACAATTATAAGACCCTTATCTTATCCCAAAATAAAGTTACAAGACTTTCTTATTTTTATTTTCCTGGACAAATGTGCTTCACCTTCCCCCTTGATAAATACTTCAGTTGCATTTGCCAGGAAGGCCTGTTAGCATAAGGTCACATATCCGGAGCCTGAAGAGACTAAAAATGTAGTGTGCAAATCAGCATCAGGGAGAACAGGGTTTCCCGTAGGCCCCACCTCCTCAGACCATGCCTCTTGTGGAGCCACCCTCTAACTCCTCTTCTCCCCTAAGTGCTCTCTCTTTATTAAATTCCCCCTAAGTCTTGTTTCTTTCATTTCCCCTGCATTTCCTCCCCAGATTCGAGCTCTTTTGTAACCAGCCCTCCATTCCCAGAGCTGCCTGGATTTTACCACAGGGCATTTCCTCAGAGGAGCTGAGAGCTTTCCACCGAGTGAAGCCGTGGCTCCGCTGCTGGGGGCTGCTGAATGTTTTTGTGCTGAGCACCCCTGCGAAGCCATGTGGAGGGTCTCTGGTCAGGCCTTCCCGAGCTCTGCCTTTTCATGTACATACCACAGGTAGACCCCTTTCCTGTTGCACATGAGAGAATCCAAGTCTAACAGGCCTCATCACCGTGGGGATTTTGGGTCCTGGTAACTGAGACATCTTGTAGATGTTTTCAAGGGTGTGGTTTCTCTTTCTCCATCGCTCTCCCGTTCCCATTCCTGTGTGTGTTTTTTTTTTTTTAAAGATTTTATTTATTTATTTGAGAGAGAGAATGAGAGAGAGCACAGGAGAGAGGGGAGGGTCAGAGGGAGAAGCAGACTCCCTGCTGAGCAGGGAGCCCGATGCGGGACTCGATCCCGGGACTCCAGGATCATGACCTGAGCCGAAGGCAGTCGCTTAACCAACTGAGCCACCCAGGCGCCCCCATTCCTGTGTTTTGACACCACTCTCAAACACCCTGCTCTGGTGGTCAGAAGACACCTATCATAGCCCCAGGCCCATGTCTTCTCTCATTCAAGTCCAGTGAGGACAGCATGCTGCTTTCCCGTAAACCCCAATGGAAGTCTCATTGAGTCTGACTGGCTCTGACTGGGCCATGTTCCCTGAGCCCAGAGCCCAGTCACCAAGGCAGGTACTTGACTTAGTTCTACGTTCAGACGCAGAGCTGGATTGTAGGTTCCCTCTGAGGGAGTATGGGGGTAGCTCTTCAGAGGGACATTTGGAGAAAGGTGGATGGATGCAGGGCAGCAAAATCAATAGATGACCCCTGAGGACTCTCTGTTTCTGGTAAAATGGTTCGATTAGATTCATTACTGAACTTCTTTAAAGAGGATAATGATCAAGTTTTGTAAAAGCAGCTTTCCCCTTCAAGAAAAGCCTTATATAACGTCCCTAGTCGTCACTAACATTTCTTGGGTGTGAACATGCCGATGGGGAGTTCTTGGCCCACCACCTCACATGCCAAGTTCTGTCTTTGTCCACCTGCCCTCTCCCCAAGGTAATGTGACAGGGCATTGGTTTTAAGAGCTCTAGGAAAGAATGGCCCACAGCCATGCATATCTTCTCCTTGTCGTGCTTCACAGATAAAATGGAATAATATACATGTTTGCTGTCACACGGACAGACTGTTGCTTGAGATTATTCATGTTCTCTAGACTGCCTATGCGCTGAACTAAGTTCGTCGTTTAAAGGGGACTTTGTTTTGGGTGTTGCGGCAATTCAGTGGCTCATTTGGACATAGGAGATGTACAGTGTGCTTCCTGCTTAATGAGTGAGAACAAAACTCAAGTCACTTCACTTAGCACAATTATGGTGTTGAAGCGGTTCCTTCGGTAGTTCTGGGAAAGTGGTTAAGGGGGTGCCATATGTTTAACTCATGCTCAGGAAAAATGGCTCAGTGCTCTGCAGAGTCAGATGATCTTCTGCATATAAACTGTCATCTGACAGGCTTATGCTGGATATTCCAACAGTCTCAAAGTCCTCCCCAGGTCTGGGAACAATGAAAGCTATGCCACCCATCATGGGAGGCTGATTTCTTTGGATTCGTAGTAAGTCTTGGCTTTCCTGGCAGTTCATGATGTAATGATGATTTGCGTATCTTTGAACTGGTTGTACGAAGGAAAAACTGTTGTAAATAGGATACAAGCAAGCGGGCTGGTTCAACTGAAATATTTTAACCCCTGCATTAATGTACTGCTGTGTGAGGGGTGTGCATGTGGGAGAGCGTCCTCTCTATCTCCAAGGTAAAGAATGATACCAGAGCGGAAGGCAGCAGACCAAGTGCAAGGCCACAGGTTAGGATTTTGCCACTTAGAAGGGCCAGGTGCCTCACGCCTTACACCCGTGTCCAAGACGCCTCCGGTCTTTCTGTGGGAAGCAACGTTATGGCAGTTCCTGGCCCTGGAGGAAGCATTTCCGTGTAATAATTCTGGCAGTGGTGGCCACCACTTGCAAAATATGTATTATGTGCGAAGCACTCTGCTAAGTCATAAATTATCTAATTTCACCTGCATGACAGAACGGAGGCAGGTGATCTTTGCTCCATTCCACAGCAAAGGAAGTAAGACCGTCTAAGACTGTGCCTAGTAAGCGGCCTGTGGATACTTAAGTCTCCCTCCCTGCTCCTCTCCCCCAGCGGGGGCCACAAACTCAGAGCTCTGTGGCTCCCAGGCAGGGTGGCCACTGCAGTCCACTGGAGGGCATTGATCCTTTCTGCAGAGGGCCTGCCACTGCTTCTCTTCCGTCTACTTAGGCCTGGTTCGGTAAGCCTGGCCTGACCGGATTTTCCAGTGTTTTCTGCAAGGGGCTAAAAATCCACATTTATTTGTAATATTCTATTTTGCCTCATGTTATCAGTTTTATTTATTTATTTTCTTGGGAAATACCACAGGCCACAGATGACGTGTGTGGTTGGCTGTGGCCTGTGGACTCCCGGTTGTCCACTCCTGCTCTGAAGCCTGGGCCTTCACCCCGCACCCTGAGTCCTCCTGGGGAGCAGCGCTTCCTGCAGATACATGCCCTAGGGAGATGCCCAAGTGCACGTCTGGGCAGGTGCGCAGTGAGCCCGCTCCTCCGCACCCCTGCACAGCCCTGTCCCTCATCCCTCCTCTCTGCGAGGCCCACATGAGCCCACCATCAGCCATTCCTCTCTAAACATCTGCTCTTCTTTGCCTTGAATGCCCTTCTCTGTTCAGTCCTACCTTTTGGAATAATCATCTCTCAAAGCACAAATTACAACCTGCCTCCTTATACTGCTTTATCTGATCAGTCCCTACTGCGAAAATAAAACGATTTTCCATGTCACCATCAGAGGAGGGCTCATCGCATTCTCTCTGGTGCTTCATTTAT